GGGGGGGGGGAAGATGATGTGCTGGGTTAATAAGTGGCAGGCAGTGCCAGGAGGGGGCCGGGAGGAGATTTGGGGTTGGGCGGGAGCTCATGGGGTTCTTCTGCTCCAGAAAAGGAGGGGAGATGGAAAGGAACCGCGTGAGTCTATGTGGCAGGAGGAGGCATGGCAGGGCCCGGGGAGTCCAGAAGGGATCTGCCCAGCATTATATGGGGAGTCAACAAGAAAGAGCCCAGGCGTTCCAGCTTGCCAGGAGGGGGCCGGGAGGAGATTTGGGGTTGGGCGGGAGCTCATGGGGTTCTTCTGCTCCAGAAAAGGAGGGGAGATGGAAAGGAACCGCGTGAGTCTATGTGGCAGGAGGAGGCATGGCAGGGCCCGGGGAGTCCAGAAGGGATCTGCCCAGCATTATATGGGGAGTCAACAAGAAAGAGCCCAGGCGTTCCAGCTTGCAGGCCTCTATTCTTAACACCTGGCTGCACAATCTCAGCTCCTCAGCGGCTGTCTTCTCCCTGCATCTGCTGGGGACGCTTTGGCTAAGGAGAGGTGGCCTGTGCGGGTGAGAACCTGGTCTGATCTGCTCATAACACAGAAACCTGAGAGGTGCCAGGTTGGCTCAGAGCAGGGGGGGCAGCCAGCTCACAGATGACAGTAATGGGTTCCCTGCCTCTTCCCCAGGGTGTTCCTTCCTGACCCCATTAGTTAGAGCTTGACTCATGCCCTGAAGCATGAGGGTTCTTAGCCCTTGTTTAATTGCTAGTATTTATCCTTCTAACTCTGGGTGTTTGCATTATACACATCGGCTGTGTCTAAACTGGCCAGTTTTTCCGGGAAATCAGCCGCTTTTCCGGAAAAACTTGCCAGCTGTCTACACTCGCCGGCTTTGCTGACAGCATTAGACCACGGGAGTGGGGAGTGAAAGTGAAAGGCAGCAGATTCAAAGTGGACAAAAGGCTTTTTTGCACAGAGCCTAGTTATCCTGTGGCCAGGAGTTCCACAGCTGATCGCTGAGGCCGAGAGTGTCGCATGAGCCCAGAGAGGACCCAATGGCTACATCTAGACTGGCATGATTTTCCGGAAATGCTTTTAACAGAAAAGTTTTCTGTTAAAAGCATTTTTGGAACAGAGCGTCTAGATTGGCACGGATGCTTTTCCGGAAAAGCATCTGTGCCAATCTAGACGCTCTGTTCCAAAAATGCTTTTAACAGAAAACTTTTCTGTTAAAAGCATTTCCGGAAAATCATGCCAGTCTAGATGTAGCCATTGGGTCCTCTCTGGGCTCATGCGACACTCTCGGCCTCAGCGATCAGCTGTGGAACTCCTGGCCACAGGATAACTAGGCTCTGTGCAAAAAAGCCTTTTGTCCACTTTGAATCTGCTGCCTTTCACTTTCACTCCCCACTCCCGTGGTCTAATGCTGTCAGCAGCTGTTCCAGCCCCTCCTGCCCCTATCAGTCCCGTCTCTTAGTGTGCAGGGCTGAGACAGGAAGTCAGGTCAATGGGATCATACTGGACATCGGCTGCCAGGAGAGACGGCGCTGCCCTGACCCAGACATTCCTTTAAGCCTCACAAAAATGTGCGTTGCCTAAAAAGCACAAGGGGCAGAAGCAGTAAAGGGGAGAGACTCTCCTTGGAAGATCTGCAAAGCATCCGAAGCCAAAATCTCCAGAGATTGTTGGCCTCAACTTTCCGTCTCTCCAGAGCTGCTCCTGGCCACAGGGGTTCGGAGACACTTGGTATCAGGCAGTTCGACAGATGGATGACCACTCCATAACAAACGGATCCTGAAAACCTCTGGAAGGTCTCATCTTAATGACAATTAATGAACTGGCTGGCGGGGATGGGTACGTGCACACCTGCACATCCCGGACGGTCCTCAGTGTGTGTACGTCTGTCTGTCTGTGTATATACGCATCTGATCCTTGATTGGGACTCCTAGGCACTACCCTAATAATAATAACTACACATACACACACCACCATCCTGTACTGGATGGCATCAGATCTGCTCAACTGTGTGTCAAAAGCCCTACACTGCCAACAGCTGTTGGGGATTCTCCATTGGCTACCCGGTCCTTGGGGATCCGAGCTCCGGCCTTGCTGCTGCAGTAAAGGTCCGGACATTGTCACAACAGCCGTGCAGTCCTCAGTGACCAGAGATCCGTTACCGTGCATGTGGGTGTCATGCTGAGCACAGGGCGTTTCATGAGCAAATCCACCTGTCGGGGCTGCGCCGGGGATGAGCCGCGGTCACCTCATTACCAGCAGGATGCAGAGAGACGGGAGTTGAGAGAAGAGCAGCCCAAGTGACTCAGGGATTAATTTGAGCGGGGAGATTAAACGAGATCCATGGGCAGAGCCAGGCTGCAAGTGCCAAGCGCGAGGGCCGCTTGTGGGTACCTTGTGGCTCCAGCTGGTGGCTCCAGACGCCTGGAGGAGAGACTCGGGGGGCAGAAGTGAGGGGAGAACTAGCAGGAAGGGGTCTGGAATGGACAAGAAGATGAAACCTGAATTCTCCGCCGTACGGTACAGCTGCCCCGGCCCAGCAAAGCGGCCTGAGAGTGCCTGGGAATGGCCCCTTGCAAATCCCCATCAGTGGCGCCAGCTAGGAAAAAGGGCTTCCTGGCAGGCCAAGCTCAGCTCCCAGAACCTAGCACTCTTCAGGGCCCGAGAGGAGGGACAAGGGGCTCCAGCAAGGGGCGGCCAGTTTGCAAGAGGGCCCTGGGAAAGGGAGCTTTGCAGTGGAGCAAGGAAGATCTTGGAGGGGACTGGAAGCTGCAGCTCCAGAATGGCAGCAGCAGGGGGCGCCGGCGTGGGAAAGCAGTGCCATTCCCTGGCTTT